GAGGCCCTGCACAGGAGGCTAAGCAAAGTGGCCAAACGCTATAGGTGTATCTACGCCCATTCCTCTGCTAGCTAGCCTCCTTCGCAGTCTTGTTGGGCGTCGGCGTTATTTTTCTCTGAGCGACGTGAGTAATATGCCGCCGCGAGGGACGATTTGCTGCCGAGGGAGTTTTTGCCACGGAGAGAAGGTTTCGCGCTCCAACAACACCTCCCTGCACTGGTGACGTTTATTGCGGGAAGTTCACACATCCATGCCAATCGCTCCTAAGTGTTTTTGATAGCCCTTTCTAGTCGCCGACTGAAAGCAGTCTTGTTGGAGCGCGAAACCTTCTCTCCGTGGCAAAAACTCCCTCGGCAGCAAATCGTCCCTCGCGGCCGCATATTACTCGCGTCGCTCAGAGAAAAAATAACGCCGACGCCCAACAAGACTGCGAAGGAGGTTATGCTAGCATGCTTACTATGTGCAGTTTGTTCCGATCCCTACGCCCTCTCTATTCTTAACGTTCAGATGAGGATGTTTTGCAGCATACTCCCGGTGCCAGGCTCTGTCTGGTGTTGTCACTATGCAAGTATATCAACAACCTGTTTTATGTATTTATAACGAACTGTAAAGTCATTGAATTCTTTTTTGTTTGTGTTGATTGTAAGATTTTATTTAGTCTTTATTTTTGCCTTGCTGCCGCTACTGGTGGATCTGCGATAGACCCTGTAGAGAGAAGGAATATCAGAGTTAAAACACACATCTTCAATTTGGAATACGAGTATGGCTGAAAACATAGAGAATCAAACTTTGCTAACTGAAAGAAATTGGAGCTTTAATAGTAAAGACTATGTCACTACTGGCTTGTGGGGATAATAAATCCAACCAAAAACCTATATGCAGAATCATTTGGTGGTATTTAGTCGACAGTTGTATTCTTATATCCGTAGGGACCATATTTTATTAAAGAAAATATGTGGTTTGCGGGAAGTGCAACATCCTTCAAACAAGACCTCTTCAGGTTTGTCAATACAAATGGCCGTTGATAATTAAGGGTTAATGACCCGCCCAGAGGTGAATATGGTGTGATAAAGCCTTGTCAGTTGCTATATCCACAGAATAAAGCCACCAAGTGAGCGCAGCGATATGATAATTCAATTTATAGCCTCTATTTACGTCTATAACAAAGTCGGGGTTATAATGCCAGATACATGTATCTACTAGTATGTAATAGTTAAAAGCATGTGCGGGGCGAGTTTAGCGGATATAGAACTGCTCCGCCACCCTAGGGACTCTGTACCGTTCGAGGGCGTCAGCCAACCATTTCACTAGCAAACATGGGTCCTGATTGGCTGAGGAAGCGTCACTGTGTTCTAACTCAGGAGGTAAATATTTGCCATGTTAAGATAGCAAAAACAAACACCTTTAGTTAGCCAGTGACGGGGTCAGTGCTGCCGCCGGTGTTCGTGAGGTGGATGACCCAGACGGTGTAGAACCCGGCTCCTTCTCCCTCGTCCAGGTAGTTGTTATCTGTTGATTGAAGAGATAACATGAGTTACAAACTATACTCTTCTAGAGAACCAACTCCATCGGCATGTTATATCTTTATTTGGCCAATTTCTGCTCTTTCCAGTCGCCTCCCTGGGCGTTTCCAGGGAACAATAGTCTCCAAGCAGATCTTTTGGTGACAAGAGGATAGCCTCTGCCAGGCTTCGGAAGTTGGTCGAAAGAGCAGGTATTGGCCTAAAAGAGAGATAACATGGATTGCAAACTGTACTCTTCTTTAACACCAAATGTAAGATGAAAAATAAGCACTGATCTAGTTCAATCGTTTCTTTTTTCTTTTGCTTCCTTTCTCTTTTTTTTTATTTATGGATGACATCCACCTTGTGGTTCTCAAACTCATAGCAAAAAGATAGCATGCATCTGGTAAAAAGCAGACTCTGGCATTACCATCATTTTGAATGAATGAATGAATGAAAGAGGGAAGGCCTTTCCCAAGGGCACAAGATCGGTGGCATGTCAGGACTCGAACCCAGGACCTCTTGGTTCCGAGTCGAGCACTTTGCCGCTACGCCACACGGCCCCACAAAAAGGAAGGAAGGAAGGAAGGAAGG